TTGGCTCCCTCTATATACTTGTGTCTTGATGAATTTCTTTTTGACATTGTGATATAATCTTGATTGATTGATGTGATTGATTTTATGAGGGATCTTGATGATCTTGATGTTAAAAAGAGGTTCTTGATATTTATGTGATGATTCTTGATAAGTCTTGATGGTTCATGATAATGAAAATAAAATATGGTTTTGATGATTTGGGTGGGATTAGAGCCCTAGGATGGATTGGGAATTGGTATTGTGATGTTATTGATTTATATTTGGGCGGGAATTTTCATGTTCGGGTGTTGTTCGTGTCTAGAAGTCGTGATAGGATGTATTCAATATGATTCTTGCTTTTGATCCATTAATTGCCTATGTGGTATCGTTAATTGCGTGTAAAAGTGTCTAAGCATGGTTTCGGGCTCCACGAAGGATCCCGGGATGAGTATTTGATAAAAGAGTCAGTGGGGGGTAGGTGGGGGTAGGGGTACCCGCCACTTACCCGCTGCCCGAAAATCACCGCTAGGCAGCGGGCAGCTGCCAGGCAGGAGTTCTCCCGCCGGCAACCCGCTGCCCGGACGATGATCTCCGGCGGGCAGCCAGTGGGTGGCCCTCCACCCACCGGCTACCCACTGGTTTGTCACCCACCCCGAGTCTTTGGCTCCCCCGTTTGATGTTCCACATTCCCCGTGGTGTCCTAACGGACCCCGTTTGTCGTGCTTGAGTCTAGTTTGATGTTTCGGGTGCCGTTCGTAGGATAAAAGAGTCTAGGAATTGCATTCTAGTCGAATCGATAACCCGTTGGCCTAGGTGGAAGTCGTATGAACCCCTTAGGACTATTCTTAGTATGAGAATGATCACACGTAAGCTTATTTATATGTCTCCCCCTCCCAATGTGCAATTATGTGTTATGTGATGCATGATTCCCCAATTTGGTTGCGATCAAATTGGCTATACGGGTAGTTGGATGGGTTGAGAACCATCCCAATTGTTAACCAGGCCAGTTGCGATCGGTCAGGTATATAAATATTATATAGGACTGCGGTCCACTGTTGGTTACTTATGAGCTGCGGTTCATCCTCTGGGCTGCGGTCAGTGATTCACTTCTTGGGCTGCGGTCCACATGGCCCTCGGGTGCTATGACGCACCGACCTGGACGCGCCAGGCGGTGTGTAGGGCCAATAAGCCCAAGGAAGGCTGTAGTCCACCGACCTGAGTAATCAGGCGGTGTGTAGGGCTACGACTGGCTGCAATCCACCGAATGATGTGCCAGCGGTGTGTAGGGCCTGATCCGCTATGGTCCACCGACTGTGCCCGTCAACGGTGTGTAGGATCGTATGTCCCCCCTTGTAAAGTGGATCACAGTCCACCGACTGAGCGCATCAGCGGTGTGTAGGACTGTGATCCGCCGCTGAGTTCGTCAGCGGTCTATAGGATTGGTTGCGATCAACTCCCTTTATGCTGCGGTATGAGGTAGGGTGCTGCAGGGCCGTGTTAGTGCTATATGCGCTAACCCTCATGTTCGGGGCATGCGATTGGTCCCGTGGCGCCATCATAGTGTGATTGTGTGTCACAAATGATGATTGGATAATGATATGATTGATTTGAAAGTAATCCGTGACCTTAGATGCATGTTCTTTATGATGGTTGTTTCTACTTAACCGTTGTCATTGATTATTGTGCTTGCCCCTATTTGCCGAGTCTATTCCTGGTTTTAAAGCTAAAGTCTCTTAAGTATATGTCTTCTTGCTTCAAAATGGTTTTCATATATCTATATATATCTATCTATATTGTATTTCAACGCGTTGGAGTGGGTTACCAGCATCATTCGCTGAACAGATATATTTGGCTTTCAAGCACCGATGAATATACCTGGAGCGCACTAGAGATCCGAAGCATAGAATAGTTAGTTTCCCTTCGGCCTGCGTGCCATGATTATGTATTGACATTGTATTGAGGATTTTAGTTAGTTAGCCTGTGCATCTGAGTTCTCCAGCTCAGATGTGGCATAGTACCCCGCACTCTTATGTTGATTTTGAGATTTAATGAGAATTCACCTTTATTATATAAGTGTTAAAAATGTAAAAATTTCGGGGTGTTAAAACCTTATAGCTAGTTTCAACCATTACCTCCAGGACCCTGTACATACAAGTCCAACCTTATGCCTCCGGGAACCGTTGTTCCCCACCTATACCCACCAAATCAACAACCACTGATTTCATAGTACACGAGGGTACCGTTCAATTCACACGGCCTCAAGCCACCCCACACATATGAGCCTATAGCCCAGTTCATAACTCCATAATCACGTCATGGCCACCACGAGGACCACTGTCGTACCTTGGTGACTAATGTCCCATTCCATTAATTGTGCAATCCAGGTACAACCACACACACAACACTATCATAGGAATCAATCAACGGATCACAACGAAGATATGAAACCATACTCAATCAAGGAAGGATCACAATCCGACTACAATGATGATTAACACAAGTTATCATCCACATTAGGAAAGAACAAACCACACACGCTAGCATTTCAACATCAAACTAGCATGCTTCTCAAACGGGTAAACGAAACATAGTTTCGAAGAACGTACAAGACTCATCATGGTTCAACGAATCACAAGGTTGAACACTTAGCACGATTCAAGACACCAAAACTTACATGGATTCCTATCATATAGTTGTAGACATACGAAACATCAAGAAGACACTCAAATAGTTCAACAAAAGAACATCGGGAAGTCAAAACACCAATTACCGAGTCAAAAAGAATCACGGGGACAGACTCAATCAAGCAATAACAGACTAAATTTATTACTATGGACCTTGGTTAATTATTTTATAAGCTACGATATTAAATGCCCAAGTCCTGAGCCCAATATACATATATGTACATATATATATATATATATATATATATATATATATATATATATATATATATATATATATATATATATATATATATATATATATATATATATACACACACATATATATATTACGGTAACCTAAAACGCCTAAAGCGTCTATTACGGCAAATTATATTGTGAATCATGACCCAAATTACAATGTAGATCATGAATAAATATATATCGAATTTACATTATTTGATAGTCTGTACTCAAATAATGTACTTAAAAACAAATAAAATTTAGTGTATTAAAAATATATTTTTAGTATAATAAAAATGTACCTTATATCAGTTGTTTACTTTACAAGGTGGACCAATAGTCTATGGTATAATGACTGTTCTAGTACGAAGTTGGCAATTTATATCGCATTGTGCGCCCTGGTGCAAAACAACGTCGTTTTGTACATTTTTGTTTAGAAATTCCGTTTTCCGTGTCTATTGTTAACTTAAAAAGAAAAAATTCTCATGTTTCGAATGTACATAATTGTATAACAGAATACACATACTCATTTTTGAAAAGATAATACATATAATACATAATACACATAAACTCTTAACATAATACACATAAACTTTTAACTCTTAAAAAAATCCAATGTTTCGAATGTACATAATTGTATAAAAGAATGTACATAATTGTATAAAAAATGTACATAATCGTATAATAGAATGTACATAATTGTATAATAAAATGTACATAATTGTATAACATAATACACACACTTTGTCGCGTCAACTCTCCATACAACGTAACAAAACGACGTCGTTTTGGGCAGGGCGGGGGTGCACAATGCAGTGTGCGCCCTGGTGCGCGATATAACGATTGTATGAGGTTGGCCTAGATGACTTCCGGTCATTATATCATGGACCGCGGTGCACGTGCACTGCGGTCAAAACGGCGCCGTTTCTGTTAACGGAGCGCGCATTTTTTGGTGTGTTAATTACCAACTGAAACTATAGTGTATCTAAACTGACACTACAGTGTATCTAAACCGATACTGCCTCACATATTATTTTATAATTTCTATATTATCAAATGAAACTGTAGTTATATCAAATGATACTGTAGTTGTGGTGAAATGAAACTGCAGTGTATATAAAATGAAACTGAAAAACATTTCACATATTTTAGTGTATATTGTGCAATGAAGGTGTAGTTATATCGAAATGATCATGTAGTTGTGTTTTAATGAAACTATAGTGTATATAAAATAAAATTAAATAACATTTTCACATATTTGTGTGTATAAATATCGAATAAAACTGTAGTTATATCGAAATGAAACTGTAGTTGTGTTGAACTGAAGTTGCAGTGTATACGAAATGAAACTGAATAACAGAATTACTTTTTGCGGAACGGCACGAAACGGGTGCCGTTTCTTTTCATTAAACAAACGACGTCGTTTTGAAGCTCGGTGCATAATCGATTATACACTACGGTGTAGGATATAATTTTACCATGACTTCGCCCACATAAAATTGGTCCAATATTCATTTTTAACCCATAAAGTCTAATCAATACAACTTAACCATTGAAATTTTATTTTTTATTTATAACGGAAGGGGATACCCACATATAGAAGTTACTACATCAAATATCGTCATAATCGCCTCTACCCTCAAACTCACCACCTCCACATAGGGGAGCAACTTGATACAAGTGGACCACACGGTCTTTGGTTGAAATTTTGTTATTACTATAAAGAATTAAAACTGTCATAACATTTTCAAATGCCCAACATACTCTTATCCATTCAATTTGTGTTATATAAGTTATCTTCATTGTACAAAAAGTACATGCTACCTCTGAACTACACTAACCTTTGTAATCAACCTTTAAGTAACAACTAACAAATACAAGCTTTGTGCTTTCCATTTTGGTCCATTTCCATTTCCATAAATTAGGTTAATTCCATCATTTACTTATTGCATATAACAAGCATTTTTCAGTTGAATGTATTCTCAAGGGCAGCTCAATATGAAGAAAAGAATAGAATCTAATTTTGTTTTTATATACAATTTAAACCAATTACTTACAAATATATGACACCACTATTACATTACATTAAATAAACAAAAGAAATGGGAAGAAATCAAATTCATAAAGATAATTTCACTATTTTAAGTTAAAATTAATAATTGTCCAGGAACATAAGAAGAATACAGTGGATTTCAAATATGAACAAGGATGACTAACAAAGATAACGCAGAGAAGTGAAGAAGCGAAAAGGCAAACCCTATTTTTCTTTTATACAAACTGCCAGAAACAAAATGTTAGTGGTGTTACGGTGTTAGTATGGCTTCCTCTTTTAGCTCTTTTTGTGCATCCATTGTACAGTAATAGTACTTATTGATGAGCCTTTGGGACTAGGATATTCCCAAAGCTCAAACCCCATCAAGCGATTGGCGGTCTAGGCCTATTTTGGGTGGGTCTTGTTGGGGGCGATAGAGATAAAGCTGGCGGGAGTTCATTGCAGCAACAGTTCATCGTCTGCCTGCAGTTGCTTGAGCCGCCTTTTTGCGTATACTGTTATTAGTACTGTGGTGACCACGGTGAGACAAAAACCGGAGACTGTGAAGATGATCTGTGGCGCTGATAGGGAGTGTTGGTCGTGGGAAGCATTTGCAAGCGTCTTTATCAGGATGCCACTGAGAAAAAGGAGGATACTTTGTTAGCTTCGAGATATATATACAAATTAGATGAAAAAATAGCAGTTGTGTTCACGATTTAAAATTCAGAAAAGAAGGGCTAACGCAACATAGAGACAAAAAAAAAAAAAAAAAAAAAAAGAGCCCGAAAGCTAGTGTTACACGTATTCTTGTTATTACAAAAATAAGAGCTAATGCAGAGAGATGCCCTGAATATGCACCGAGGCTCAGCTAGATTAGTCTCGTATCGTGAAATGCAGATATTAGTGCAGTATTTCAAAGATGCAAACAACACTATAAGTAAACACTTTTAGCATTTCTATTCAAACAGGTAAGGACAATGTCACAATGCTGGAGCCTAAATATGTAGGACAAAACTTGCATGACTAAGCCAAAGCCTAACAATGTCTCACAAGAACTTCACACAACAGTGAAAGAAAAAATAATAATAATAAATATAGTAATAATATGGAGTAACAATAATTATAATTATAATTATTAGTAATATAGTAATAAATTATAATTATAATTATAATTTATTACAACAAACTGCTGTTATAAATGGATAACTTATTTGAACTGCCATGCACAAAATGTATACGGAGTAATAGTTTCAGTGACATGAACAATGGTCACAACCTTCAACAACTATGATACTGTGCAGTCTTGTTTGTTTTTAAGATTTTGGTTTGTTTCGCTCAAAACCATATTGTTCTGAGAGAAAAAAAAAAAAAAAAAAAAACTGATTTGAAATATAATATATATATATATATATATATATATATATATATATATAAATTAATTGGCTAATTAATCTGCCTAGTCAGCCAACAAACGGGCGAATAATGCCTTAATCCCATTGGCCTAGGGACGCCTAGCGCCTAGGCAGCTGCCTAAGCCAATTTTTGCAACACCTATAAATAGAATGCCTTAGCTTAACACATCATTGTATTACAAAGTTTTCTTTCTTTGCAAAAACACAGAAACAAGTCTTGACATTTCAAGATTTGCTGACTAACCAAAGGCCAAAATCAAGTATTACTATTTTACTGGTTTCTTGTTACAGTTTGATCACCATAACAAAGTCACCCAAAAAAAAATTAAAAAAATCACTCATAATAACAGTCATCAGCGCTATGGGAATGTGAAGGCAATGAAATCATATCCAACAACTATGCACAAAGAATGTTTTTGATGGTATGATGCGTCTCCAATCAAACTATAGAATAAAAATAATTGGGTGTGTACGACTGTACGTTAGTGGATAGATGAATATTTTACTACTAGTCTTACATAATCCTATGCCATTACATTAAGCACAAATGTCTCTGACTTCATTGGTGCACATATGCTTCTTACCATGTATACAAATGATCTGTGTGAGTGCATGTTCATGAATATGGAAGAGAAAGTGAGAGCTTACGTATAAATCGCGACAAATATCTCTGGCACCATGCCTACCAGTGAACCCAACAAATAAGGAAAGTACTTGACTCCCGTAGCCATTGCACAATAATTGTATACTATGTAAGGAAATGGAGATACTCTGATCAATGCCACAGCTTGGAATTGATTAAGGCAATCCCCTTCACCGGCTAGTCTAATCATAGAAGCATTCTTCGGATATCTTTCTAAACACACCTGGCAAGAAAGAAAAAGAAAAAGTCACCTCCGCTGCTCAAAAAAGCAATCCAAAGAATAGGAAGCTACGGATGTTAGAAAACAAATAAATATAGTTACTTGGATTCTGCGGCGGAAAAGATAGCCTATGAAATATGGAAGTGAAACTCCAATAGCTGCACCTCCAATAATCAGCAGAAACCCATACCCATATCCGAAAGTCATCCCCGCCACCCACATGGAGGGAGTAGAAGGCAAAAGAAAGGTCGGAAATAGTGCTACAGAACCAAAGACAAAAACCGCTAGAACTGGAGGGCTGAATGTTTTCATCTCCCAATTTAATATCGGGATTATTTCCTGAGAAGGTAAATAATTTGGTTAGCAAGTGGCATAAGCATCAAGGTACCCAGAAATAATGATAGCAAATCTGCAACCCGAGACTTAAAAAGACAACAAAATGAACACATTGCAATTGCTTGAACAAGGCAATACGGGGGTAACCCCAGCCAAAATGGCTAAAGATATAAACTTGTAATCACAAGATCACGAGTTCGAATTCCAACCTTCTTGGTTTGAGCCGGTTAGCTATGGGCAACCTAGGCTGGTTTACCTCCTTATGATTATAAGGCGGGGTTTACCCAATGCACACACTCGGGTAGTGGCTGCGAGTTTTACTCATCACCCAAAAAAATACAAGGCAATACCTATTAATTCTAGCCATGTTCATACAAATTCTTTAGAGATTAACAAGCAGCACAGGATATAAATATAAATATGCTACTTCTCTAAGGCTGGGTGTTTTTCATCGAATCCAGCAAATCTGATTTCTCATGAAGAAATTTCAAAACTCTTGTGGGTTCCCTCTGATAATTGGTGGAGTAACATACAATACATTACTACCTTAAAATCTTGTTCCACATTACAAGCAAAATTGTTCAAATTTGAAATCTAAAGGAACAGATCTTTAATGATTTTCTAGGCTAATATTTCCATCCCAATCATCATACAGGTTGAAATGTTAGAAATAGAAAAAATAATAATAAATTGCAGAAATAATTATGTTTTGCTGTTAACCAACAAAAAATTGAAAATGAAAAAGGAGAGTGGACCTTATCCATGAAGAAGGGGCCGACCCAAATGAGAAAAACGGCAGCCAAAACGCCAAGAAAGATAAGCAAGAGGAGCAGCTTGGCCCACCACCAGAAGGACCACCACCGACCACCGACCTCACAACCCACCGCCACCACCGCCTCCGCCGCCTGGGAAGAAGTCGACCCATCCCCGCCGATGCAGTCCCCGCTGCTCTCCTCCAACTCATCGTTCCTCAATTTCACATAATACGCCTCATCGCGATCCTCCCCCGGCCCCGGACTCTTCGCCGCCGCCGCCCCCTCCCCGGCAGCAAACGTCATCATCGCCGAACCTAGACCCGGCGATCCACGATCAAAACGTAGCCTTTAAGAGAATAGGCAACGGATATATCCCCCCCGGCGGATGAATTTAAAAAGAAAACCCATCAAAAGCTGCAGAGCGTATACGGGACCGATTGCGTGGCTTCAAATTTGTACATGTATTCTAAACTTGGCGCATTGTTGTTGTCGTTGTTGTTGCTGTTGCTTCAAAGGAGGAGGGAAAGGAGAAAAATGGCGGATAGGAGAGGAATTGTAATTGAGAGACGAGAGGGTTTAATTATAATTATATATATATAGAGAGAGAGAGAGTATAATCAACGTAAACACAAATACTCCATGGCTTTTTAGGAAAAAGCTTGCAGCTTGGTTAAATGACAGCTTTGCCTCTCAGTTTGCTGAGAATTCTCCGCCTCAACTCGTTTTTTTAATATTTGGAATTTTCACGGAATGAAATTGCTTTTTTTTTTTTTTTTTTTTTTTTTTTTTTGGTACTAAATATACATATAATGATTTTTTTTTTTAAATAAAGAAACTAATTCATTTTTTTTTTATATATATAATAGTTGGAAGGGGGCAACCCAAAAACGAACTACAACAGATGGTCTGTGTTGAGACATTCACGCCATCTAGGAACACCAGATATGTCATCTTCAAGCAAACCTAGAATTTCATAAGGAGGCTTACGGAGAACATGCAGGCCAATGGGATATTTTGCGGCAGACTTTGCTAAAGCATCTGCTACCTGATTTTGCTCACGAACAACTGGCTCGACCTGCCAAACTTCAAGATTACGTAGCTCTTTTGTGCATGCTTCCAGAACATTATGTGCTGCAATCCTTGGTCTGCTATTGCCATTCATATACTTAACAACTTCCTCAGCATCGCTTTCAAACCCAGCCTTGCTTAAACCCATTGATACCACTAGTTGGATGCCTTTCAGAAGTGCCCAAGCTTCCGCTTCAAAGGGAGAGCAGTAAGCCAGTAACCAATGCTGTATGCGAAACCCATCTTCCAATCCCCAGAGGAATCTCTAATAGAACCTCCGCAGTTAGCTTTGTCCGTGGACGGATTGACAGCACCATCCACATTCACTTTAACAAACTCATGTGGAGGAGTTGCCCAGCACAGCTGCTTCCAGCAGGAACGGTCACCTTGAGGGGGAAGTCCTTTTGCCCTTCCAAAAGCTCTCAAATTTCGTCAAATTGTGATCTAATCCACACATATTTTATATTCACTGGCTTCCTCGAGTTGTTGAAGACCGCTTCATTCTTCAACTTCCATATCCACCATGCCGTTAACGCGAAAAGAGTGTTACTGCCATAGGGATGTCGGCCATTCCTTTGTATGCTAGCCATTTCTCCAGCCACCTCCCAAACGGTAAGGTGGCACAATTTATGTAAGACGAAGGTGGGAATACTGATCTCCAGACGGCCTCTGCTTCAGGACAATATCTCAGTACATGTTCAACATCCTCCACGTCATTCTCGCAGCACCAACATCTGTCATCCAAGGAAATCCTTCTCTTAGCTCTGACACTATTCGTCATGATCCTACCATGAGCAACAATCCACATAAATGTACGAATGTGGTTCGGTACTTTTAGCTTCCAGATGTTGTTCCACTTGGATGCCTCAATCTGCTCAACTTCCCCTGTGGCTATAGCATACACAGAGTTGACAGAGAAGGAACCTGAAATTTCCTTACTCCAGCAGAGAGTGTTATGTGCCTCTTGGTCCTCATTCAGCATGATGGCGGCCAATCTGCCTAGAGTCTCGGCAGGAAGTAAATGATCAAACTGGTTCCATAGCCAACCTGTTTCCCCATTCCAGTAACCTGCAACATTTCTGCTTAGCTCGTTGATAGGAACATTACTAATCATTAGTTCCAGCAGGGGCCTATCACAGACCCACCTATCAGTCCAGAATGAGGCGTTTCTACCATTTCTGACTTGCTTTTTGCTGCCTTTATGTAACACCCCTAATTTTTAAAACTTTTAAAGCTTATGAAATAAAGGCAAATCTATTATAAATTCCCAAACAGAGCATAAACTAAACATAATAGTTGGGGTGCTATGCCACATCTGAGCTGGAGAACTCAGATGCACAGGCTAAACTATCCAAACATAAGAAATCATCAAATCAATATTCGATACAACTTCAAGGCACGCAGGCCGATAATTAAACTAATCTAACTAAGTCCAGGCTCTGACTAGCGCGCTCCAAAGCTAAGGCTCATTACCTGAAAACCATTCGGTATAACAAACGTCAGCGAATAACGCTGGTAACCCACTCCAACGTGTTAAGTACAGTATAGGTAGATATAAGAAACTCATTTTGAAACTGGAATACAAATAAACTTAAGAAACTCTAATTTAAATCCGAGGGCAGACTCAATCAAGCAATAGCAGATACTTTCAACCCAGTTAGACACAACCATAATGATTCTAGCATGCATCCTAAGGTCATATGACTACACAATACCAATCATATCATTATTCAGTCATCACCACACAATAAAAAACAAGACACCTAATGGTGTGCACACATATGGTGGTGCCGCAGGACCAATCACATGCCCATATATGAGGGTCAGCGCATATAGCTCTGACACGGCTCCGCAGCACTTTAACTTGTACCGCAGCACAAGGAGATTGATCGCAACCAATCAATGAACCGCAGCTCATTTGTATCATAAACGTTTGATCGCAACCAAACGGTGGACCGCAGCCCTATTATCATATATGTCTGATCGCAACCAGATTATGGACCGCAGCCCTATATATATATAACAGCCAATTGTTCTCAACCAATCCAACTGCCTGTATAACCAACCGATCGCAACCGGTCGGGTTAATACCTGGTGGTTCTCAACCCACCAGATAGTCATTATAGCCAATTGGGTTATCATGCACAACAACATAGAAGCCAAACAACATGCAACCCATATTAACACATAACGAGGGGAAACCCTCGGGGAACACGTAACCCATCATAACTCATATGTAATAAACTACATTAACCCACCCATGACACTCCTACGGGATCATACACCTTCCTCCTAGGCCAACGGGATACCAATTCATCTAGCATGCAATACACAAGACTCTTTTATCCTAAGAACGGTACCCGATACATCAAACTAGACTCACACACGACAAACGGGGTACAACGGGACACGGGGAAACATCAAACGGGGAAAAACACCACGAACCACGTCGGGATTCCAGCAGGTAGGTGGCGGGTGGAGGGCCACCCGCCAACCACCCGCCGGCGGCGGGTACTATTCCAGCGGGGCCTGCCGGATTCCCGCTGGAACAGTAACGTCGGGCAGAGGGTAGGTGGCAGGAGGTCAGTCCCCCAGCTACCCCCCACTGATACACAGGCAACTTTATGGTCCCGGGATCCCTCGTGGAACCCGAAACCATGTCCAAACACATTTAAACACATAATGACAACACCACATATTCAATTAGCGGAATTAAACCAAGAATCACACCAAATACACCCTAACACGATCCCTAAACATGCCAAGACTCAACACCCGATCATGCAAAATCCCACCCAAACATATCAAGAATAACATAATACGAAATCCACGTTATTACCCTAGGGCTCTAGACATAATCAAAATACAAGATCATTCATATAACTTATCATAGTATCAAGAACATCAAGATTATCACATAAACATCACATAAACATCAAGATTATCACATTAACACAATATAAACCCTAGGCAAAGCTCTATCAAGACTCAAATACAGAATCACATATCAAAGGAGCCAATGAATAAGATATAGCGAGGAAAATAGGTTTTGTTGAGACATGGGTTACCTCTTAGCCTTAATTAGTATCCTTGGCTACTAAGGTTCTTTCTCTAAGATCTTCTTCTCGTGGGTTCTCCCACGTTTGGTGACAGGGAATTCCTGGAAATATCTTGTGTGGTAGAATCAATTGTGGTGGGGTTTCTAAGTGCTTCCTAAGTCCTTATATATATTTAGGTGTCCTAACTAGGGTCTGAATAGTAAGGATTCACTTATCCTATTCCTTATAGGACTAAGGGTTTGGTTTAAGGATAAGGGTCCATGATCCATGGTGGGCCACCTCAATTAATTAAGGGGATCCTGGCCCAATCAAATCCTTTCTAATTATTATTAATGGTAATCAATTAAATAATTAGTCCGGGTTTGAGGCCGTAACACGGGGTGTTACACCTTAAGTATGGGTACTGCTTTGAGGATTCCTCTTCATGCATTAGATTAGTTGCTCTTCTGTTTCCACTTTGAACACTCAACATCTGCAATCGCGTATTTAGCTCTGAAAATCCTTGCCCATAAGCTTTCATCGTCCTGCATAAACCTCCACCCCAGTTTGGCTAGAAAAGCTAAGTTCATTTGCTCTAATTTGCGGATACCTAGTCCCCCGCAGGCCTTGCTTTTGGTTATAACATCTCAGCTGACAAGATGGCATCTTCTATCGCTATCATTGCTACCCCACAAGAAACCCCTTATGAGTTTCTCAATGGATGATACCACTCCTGCAGGCACCAAAGTCGTTTGCACGGTGTAGAAGGGGATTGAGGTGAGCACAGATTGTACCAGGGTATGTCTACCTGCCATAGATAGTGATTTGGATTTCCATCCGGCTAGACGAGACTGGACTCTTTCTAGAATACTGGCAAACGAGTCATTTTTAAGCCTGCCATGAATCGAGGGAACGCCCAGATACCTGCCCATATTTGTGACTATTGGAAGTCCAGTAACAACTGTTATCCTTTGCTGCAAGTCGACCTCTGAATTCTTTGAGAAAAATAGCTCGGACTTCTGCAAACTGATCTTCTGTCCAGAACAGGAATAGAACAGCTCGAGGCACCGCTTCATCTCCATTGCTTGCTGCTCCGTTGCCTCGCCAAATAACACAAGGTCATCTGCAAAAAAAAAAAAAAGTGAGAAACGTAAGGCCCTTGTCTAGCTAGTTTTATTCCTTTCCATCGTCCATTACTAATAGTAGTTTGGATTATATGGCCTAGCCTTTCTATGCATAACACAAAAATTATATGTGAAATAGAATCTCCCTGACGAATTCCCCTCCCTGGTTTGAACCACTCAGTTCTCTGACCATTCCATAGGACTGCCATCCTTGAAGATGAGATGCACTCCATAATATTTCTCCTCCAAACGCTGTTGAGCCCAATATCTTGTAGTGTATCGTCAATGAAGTCCCAAGACAGCCTATAATAGGCTTTTTCCAAATCAATCTTCATGATCACTGTAACACACCTAAATTTCACAGTATTTAAAACTTATAAAATAGAGGTGAATCCATTGATTAAATCCCAAATAGAGCATGAAGCTATCCATGAGAGTTGGGG